ACAATCTGGCACATAGTAAATATTTACAAGTTCTCCAAGAAAATCGCCTGGCCTGTTTGTTATGTTTATCGAAATAATATGACGTGAATATTGATGATGTCATTTTGGAAATTATTTATAAATTGTGACGTCACTTCATTAAGTTGGTGCTTAAAACTTAACTATTCGCTGTCTAATCTGTTGTAAATTGAAAACGAATAAAAATAACAAATAGACTTGTCAGGATATAAGATAAAATTGTTGAATTAAAGGCTAATAAGCTATTGAAACAAGTCCGTTAAAATAGGGGAGCTTATTTTTGATATCAGGTTACTAACCTGATATCAAAAATAATTATCAGTCAAGTGTTATCGAGCAGTTATCATCGCAGTTGCATGATAAAAATTAATATAAAATTATAATACAAATGTGTTCCCTTCAAAATGATGCTTTTTGTTTGTAAAGTGATCTTCAAATTCAATAAAAAAAAGAAATATAAACTTGTTTACGTATTATATAAAATATTTTTAAATGTTTGTTATTTATCTTATATAGTTTTTTTTTTACATAAAACAACATGTAATGCATTTATTAACAGGCAATGTATTTTGCAATGTCACAAGGATGGATTGTAATGAATTCATATATCCCAAATCATTGAAAACTCTATTACCAAAAATGTAATAATAATTTAAGAAAACGTCTTTCAACGTTTGTGAATAAGTCCATATATCAATAATATGGTTCCAACAACAGAGAGTGATAAAACAAACCAATACATTAACACTGATAATCAGATAAATAAATTTTTAAGTGGGCCGAGTTGACTATGGAGTTGATCCGTGCCGAGTTGGAATAGGGCCGAACTGACTCGGGGCCGAGCCGACACTTATTCAAATCAAATACATATAATTAGACAATATATCAGTAAACTTAAGTGTGCCATACCCCTAGATCTACAAATGTCGACTGGCTGGTCGGCTAAAACAAAATTAAGAAACGAAAGGTTGAGCTACATATACCGCCCATTATTTAAAATAGACTGACATGGCCTACAGTACCTGTAATCATAAATAAAAACTAACATACTTTCATCGATGCTTGAAATTACCACAATCAAAACAAGCTTACCTTGATCAAAGCTCTTTGAGGACTTTCCATCAACTCGACATCGGGAACGAACGATGCCGAAAGACTGCCACTGATTTGGACAATATTTCATCCACACGGTACGTTGTCACAGATAAATAAAAGTAGATATCGTAGAAAATAACTCTATGCTCATGAATAAAAGGAAGAACTACACTTGGACTAATTAATGAGCTTCTAAACGAGGTTAACACACAATTGTACCAGAAAGTCTTACATTTCTCACGGCCCCGTCCGACAACTAGCTGCGCATGCGCAGACCGTAAAGTCTTACGTTTCTCACGGGTCTGACAAAATTCACACCACACCGGTAATACGGTGTGGATATAAGACCGATTTCTTTCTACTGTTGGCTGACATCGCAACCCTATTGTTTCTTGTAGGCAAGAAATATCAGGCCTATATCGTTAAGATTCCGGCTCGATATTATGCTGCCGATGTCGGACCAACATCATTCCTATTTGCAGCCGAGACATCGGGCCGTCAATAAAGACTCCTAAAAAACAATGTCGGTTTGATGTCGTGCCGATATAAAATGTTGGCTGGGCAAGTGTCTGTGCGTGCATCCCTCTAGGGAATTTATTTCAAATTTACAACAACCCCTAGCTGTCAAACCAAGACGCGCTCGAAAGTATTTCTCAACGCCTGTACAGTAAATATCCCAAATGCGTGAATGTAAAATGCAAACGTTGAATGGTATATTAAATTAGTGACCGCCCGGTGCCCTTGTGAATAGTAAGGCTTTGTCAACATATACTTTGAAAACATGCATCCTTTTTTTAATATCAGTAATACCAAATGGATATGAAGATTATATTAAGAGAAATTTAGACCCTAAAAATTACGAAGCTAACAGAATGAAAACTTTTGTTTTCAGTGTGTCTTTTCTCATGTAAGTACATCGTGTATATTTGTGTAGCCACATGTGAAATTTGCCATAAGACGGTCGGTGATCTTATCTTGAAGAGGTCATCGTGTTAATACTCTGTCAAATTTTAGTCATTACCTATAATTCAGCGCCATACGAAGTAGGAAACGATAGGTTATATAATGGAATTGAAAGTTTCCATTGCAACAATCGGACTTCTTCTGATATTTCTAGCAAGTTTACCCGATATAAAAGCTGAAAACGTAGAAGATGTTGATGAAAGAGACCCTTGCTATAAGGAGCTTATAAAACGGATGGAAAATATCGAAGCTCGGGATAATGTCAATACGGAACTTAACCATCGTATACTTGCTTTAGAAAACTTGGTTAAAGGTCAACAAAGTCAGATTTCAAGTTTGCAAGAAACAATTGAGAAACAGGCAGATGTAAATAAACAGTTGCATGATCGTGTACTTATAACTTTTTTAGTTATTGGTGTATTGTCTTCATACTTGGCCACAACAACGCTTGAAACAAGACCTTTCAGTAGACCACACTAACCTTGACCTTTATTCATAAATGACCTTGGTCTTCAAGGTCAAATGTCCAAATCTTGCTATTATTGGCTGTAACTTTGTTATTTTTGAATGGATTGTCTTCAAACTTGAACATAATAATTATCAAGGAAAACCCTTTAAAATAACTAAACAGGCATTGACCTTCATTCATAAATGACCTTGATTTTGAAGGTCAAATTATTGAAATTTTCATATTTTTGGCTATTATTGGCTGTAATTTTGTTATTTTTAAATGGATTGTCTTCAAACTTGAACATAATAATCTTCAAGGATAGCCTTTTATAATAACCAGACAAACATTGACCTTCACTCATAAATGACCTTGACTTTGAATGACAAATTATTGAAATTTTCATTTTTTGGCCATTATTGGCTGTAACTTTATTAATTTTGAATGGATTGACTTCATATTCTAACAGAACATTCTTAAGGACAGGACCTTCATGTTTATCAAACTCAAATTGACCTTGGCTCTTTTTTACCTTGACTTTGAAATCGTGTTGTAGTTTGCCTTTGAGTTACATTTACTATGCTTAAATATTAACAACAGTACTAACAGTAACTTGTGGACATACAACACGATTTCAAACATGAAAATTTAAAGAAATGAATCCACGTTGTCGTGTTTTTCAAGAACTTGATAATATAGGAAAACATTTGAACTGTCAATAATATTATCTTAAGCTACATTTTACATTAACAAACATTGTTTTATGATACACTGATGTCCACAGATCTTGTCAGTTGCAAGGTTAATAGTCTCCACTTTATTACATCGAATCTGCAGCATTAACGCCGACTGAGTAAATTTCAGCCTTTATATGTCATACAGCGATGAACACTATTACCTCGAGAAAATAATGTCATATGCTAGCAAATGAATATCCACTTACTGAAGTTACAGCTGTAATATGCAAATGGCGTTATGTCTTGAAAAGGGAGTGAATTATGCGCTGCTAAACTTAAGATATATATGGTATTGTATGCATGTAACTGCAGACACAACAAATCAAGCACACATGCATGAATATAGAAAAATGAATTTCTTCATGTTAATTGCTCTATTTATAGTGCAATTTGGTCGTACTGAATCATCACATTTTGTATTGTAACTGCGTGTTGCTAAAAAGCTTTTTCTATGCACATATCGCATTAATAACTTTTCTATCTTGAGATCATATTAGAAATGATAGTTTAACGTCTCAATTACGACTACAAGGGCGCAAAGAGTAGAGGAATTGATAAAAGATTGACCTTGATTTTCTGTCAGAATGTTAGCCACTTTCATGGTATTTCCGCCATCGACGGCAGCTTTTGAAATAAGTATCTGCCTATGTACAACGGCAGCATTTTTTCTTCGACCGCACCAGATTGAACGTCTGTTAAACTTTCAAGAAAAGACTCACGGGGTAGATATTAAGCTTGCGCGACCCCAATGGATGAACGTCTATATCAATAACACGAAATCCTGCCATTTAGTTAAAACCTGAGATATTTGCAACAAAAACAGACATTTTCACGGATTTTTTTTTCGAAGCTGACACTTTTAACCTGCTCACAATATTCAACAGGAAAACGAGTCCAAAATTACATAATAGTATCTCCAGTCAATGGACAATAGTTTCATAGCAATGAAATGGGTCGTATTTGTGAAATATAATAATACCAACCAAATTTATAACCTACCTGTACCGAGCGGTAAATTTCAGCTATCTGTCATCACTGCAGTGATCTGCCATCACTGGCGCCGGTAATACGGTGTGGATATAAGAGATTTCTTTCTTCTGTTGGCTGACATCGCAACCCTATTGTTTTGATGTTGGCCCTATGTAGGCAAGAAATATCAGGCCTATATCGTTAAGATTCCTGCTCGATATTGTGCTGCCGATGTCGGACCAACATCATTCCTATTTGCAGCCGTGACATCGGGCCGTCAATAAAGACTCATAAAAAACCATGTCGGTTTGATGTCGTGTCGATATAAAATGTTGCTGGGCAAGTGTCTGTGCGTGCATCCCTCTAGGGAATTTATTTCAAATTTACAACAACCCCTAGCTGTCAAACCAAGACGCGCTCGAAAGTATTTCTCAACGCCTGTACAGTAAATATCCCAAATGCGTGAATGTAAAATGCAAACGTTGAATGGTATATTAAATTAGTGACCGCCCGGTGCCCTTGAGAATAGTAAGGCTTTGTCAACATATACTTTGAAAACATGCATCCTCTTTTTAATATCAGTAATACCAAATGGATATGAAGATTATGGTAAGAGAAATTCAGACCCTAAAAATTACGAAGCTAACGGAATGAAAACTTTTGTTTTCAGTGTGTCTTTTCTCATGTAAGTATATCGTGTATATTTGTGTAGCCACATGTGAAATTTGCCATAAGACGGTCGGTGATCTTATCTTTAAGAGGTCATCGTGTTAATACTCTGTCAAATTTTAGTCATTACCTATAATTCAGCGCCATACGAAGTAGGAAACGATAGGTTATATAATGGAATTGAAAGTTTCCATTGCAACAATCGGACTTCTTCTGATATTTCTAGCAAGTTTACCCGATATAAAAGCTGAAAACGTAGAAGATGTTGATGAAAGAGACCCTGGCTATAAGGAGCTTATAAAACGGATGGAAAATATCGAAGCTCGGGATAATGTCAATACGGAACTTAACCATCGTATACTTGCTTTAGAAAACTTGGTTAAAGGTCAACAAAGTCAGATTTCAAGTTTGCAAGAAACAATTGAGAAACAGGCAGATGTAAATAAACAGTTGCATGATCGTGTACAATATCTAGAATCACGTGACAAGGCAAACGGGGCGATAGAAACTGAAATGAAGTCTCAAAAGAAACGAATTCAAGTTGTTGAAGAGTTCATCAAGAACCTGGGTGATAAACACACAACAGTACGAGAGAATGGAGGCAAAGAAAGAACTGTGAACAAGATCGTTCAAAGAAGTAAGTATAATCAAATTTCGTTCGAATTCTGTCAATTATCTTTATAACGATGTGTATTATTAAATGAATCTAGTTTTACTTAAGAAATACTATTATAACTCTATGCATATATTAGAAATGCATAAACTCAGTACATAAACTCGGTACATGTACCATATCTTGCGAGTCTATACAATTTAATATATACCCTGTCTTGCCATTACAAGCACATGCTATACTTCCGATCATTGTACATTTCTTGCAAATCTGTGTATTTTAACTAAACCTGTCGTGCAGTTTCTTGGAGTATACTTGGTTATTTACAGTGATAAAGATACTCATTGTAACGTCATAGAGATTGATAAATGTCCTTTACCCATCTAAATTGTCGTATTTTAATTTTCTTTTTTTTTTTCTTCTTCATGCTTTATAGTATCTTATACAAATTATGACCATATCTAATTCTTAAACATGTTTTTTAACATTGATATTTTGATCAGAATGTTTTACAAATAATAATTAAAATAATAAACGATAAAGCATATTACAATAAAGATGTTTAATATATTTTTACTTCAATTTTAGTGTTTAATAAGATATAATGTTGTTTTTCTTTTTGTTCAAATTTCATCCAGCTTTACTTACAACAATATAGTTAAAATTTTATTTCTATACAAAAAGGCTCGGATTGATTGAGCCTGTTAAGGGGTGGTACTGGAAAGCACAAGCTTACACAGAATTCAGTGCGGACACCTGAGTAGAACCACCAACGTTCCGTACTCTAGCTGGATGTTGCAGTAATGCTTATCTGATGACTTTCAATTGTATATTTTCAGATATAAGGTCAATTCAAAGGCGCGAAAACGAACAGACTGTCGCATTCTTTGCATATTTAACCAATCACATCGAAAATCCAGGGGTTCACCAGATCATTGCTTTTGATCACGTGACTACTAATATTGGAAACGGTTACAACGCATTTGCAGGCGATTTCAGGTATGATTTTGGTCACATCATATCAACATATCTGAGACAGTTTGCTAATTATGATTCAAGTACTTATATAAAAGAACACTATTTTTGAATTGAGGAAAATAATGCAGATTTCAATAAGTACTAGCATTTGTGTAAAGTCGACAATCAGTTTAAAATACATAAAATTTAAACTTTTCAAATCATTCAGATATTTTTGTATTAAAGAAAACAATGCAAATACCAGGGTTTGAGGTTATATGTAGGGCCCTCTTGTATATTTATTTTACAGAGCTCCTGTCGCCGGAACGTACGTGTTCGCAACGACGTTGATGGCTGGTTCATACAGTACTGGTTATCATTTCCAGATAATGCAAAATGCCCAGTATGTGTCGAATATCTACATTCCAAACGGAGGGACAGCAAGTCAAGAAGTAGTTCTTCAGCTGAATCAAGGGGACAATGTCTCTATTCACAATATTGACGCTGGACAGCCGGTGTATGGACATGGTTACAGTACCTTCTCTGGATTTCTGCTGCAACAAAACTATTCAAGTCCTGGCATTGTTGGCAAATAAAAGAAACGGTCATGAATGTTTCTTTATTTTCTTATACATTTACTTATTTGTGTCGAAAGAATTATTAGAAGTATTGTATGTGTTCCGATATGAAATGCAGTCCGAGTTGTTCAAAACTCTTTTCCATTTACATTCAATTCTACAAATCTAATACTCTCAAATTACGGAAATTTGAGCAACGCTAGCGCTTCATTTAAACAGTATGTTAAATATCGTCCCATATCTATCTTCTTGCGATCTTTTCGATGATAAGGTGTAGCGACGAGATGTCAAAACTAATATTTAAATTATTATTACACGTAATGAGTTTCTACTTATTTTGTCTGCTTATGGTTTCTATAATAATGACAATAAAGTTGTGATTTTAAATAGCAAGTAAGAGCCTGTTAACATAAAGAAATATGTATGCACGCAATAGCTTAAGACAAAGAAGACAAAAGCTTTAAACTGGGGCAAAAAAAAACAACAACAACAAAAATCAACAACAAAACCACAATAAAAACACATAATTTGAAATGCTTACATTGAGCAAGTTAATCTTTTGAAATGGAAATATCTGAAAATGACAACAAGGAAATTACTCAGAATTGAATTGAATACAGATTGTTTGTGCAATTCTTAGTGTGATTTGAGTATAAAGCATTGCAACGTTTTTTTTTCTTCTCTTTACTCATTTTGCACAATCAAATTAATTACTCTGGAAAAACAGGGGTGAGAACGTTTGCATACAAGTTCTTTGTCTAGACCTTCATCAAATGGTTTACAAAATGCGTCTTTATTATCTTAGAATAGATCATGATATAATAAAATGATGAACCAAAAACTTCAACACGCTTTCATATAATAAACAAAACGTTATAATACATATAGATAACACACAAAAGTGGACAACAGAAAGAAGAGCTTCCTCCTTGAAAATTATTTTACAAGCATTGAATTCCACATAGTAGCCAATTTATACATAAAAGATAATTTGATACATTTTGGCTTTAAAATGATACTATGCAAAAAAATACAGAATAACAAAAGTAAAAGAAAACTTTATCCAGGTTAATTTCAATTTGATGCATAAAAATGATAACAAAAAAAATATATTTATTAAAATACAAAATACCCAAGTAAAATGAATTAATATAACCCACTTCTAATTCCGGTGAATTGAGGGTGGTAAATGAAAACATTGCAGTGTTTAACTCTAGATTTTATGTCAGTTCCAAAGAAAATGACATTGTTCGTCTAGAAGTTGGATGACTGAATTGTTAGCCCAACACATGTTCTTATATCTGCTGTAAATACCAATTCACATTCACGACATCAATGTTTTAAATAATTACACTAGCAAACCTTCGTAAATCTTTACCGAATATTTTTACAAGAAGATATAGCCAGGCACACTTAATTGCAAGCGATGTCACATGGTGTGCAGCCTGAACGGGCCGCTTACACATCTTCTATGGCCGAGAGGTTAATGTGCCGGACTATCAAACCCCGTTAGGGTAAAGCAAATGTTTCCCCGATCAGGAAACGTTACATTCATTGCTTAGTACTGGTTGATTGCAGGAACTTATTGAATTGTGTGTCGATATGCCTATACATATAAATTAAACTAAAATAGGGAATGCTATAACTGGTCAAAGGGAAATAATTCATATCGCAAAGTGAAAACAATTTTACAACAAACAGCTCCCTTGATATGAATCAAAGGGCTGCAAGCTCTCTGGTATTTTCTGATCTTTGCAATCTAAATCGTACTGTATATCTGTATGTATTTTCCTGTATAAGTTTATTTTTATGTACTATAATTCATCTTGCAAGACTAGAGTTGCATCAAAAAATCATTTATGTTCATTTTTTCTGACAGCCACACTTTATCCTTGCATATCATGGCTACTTCCTCAACAAAGACACTAAAAAAGAATTTATAAAAAAGTTGCCTAGACTGGGATTTGAACTCCAGACCTCTCACACACTAAACGGGCGCGTTACCCCTGCACCACGGAGATGTTTTACAAACAATGCCTGAATAAAATCAGGTGATTCTAAATTTAGAACTTCCATTGCATTTCGGGTTTGTTTTCCTTTATTAATTTCGAGGTATATTGTTCAGGATAAACCTGTTGTTAAAAATTGAAGTAAATAATTTAGCGAAAATCTTCTCGCCCAAACAGTCCGACATGTAGAATCTATATATTCCACTACTCGGCAGTCAGATTTATTTGTGTCGTATTCGGTAATCGACATCGCTAAAAATAGCATTTTCATTGATTAAAATCATATTCATCCGCGTAATTTGTGATTGTGCATTTATTGACAATTCTATAAGCCAACGCTACTTTTAAACTTTGAATGCCTTGTTATTTGTTGGATACTTGTAGCAAAATAAAAATATTTCTTTCTTTTACATCGCTAGTTATAAGCTGTTCTGAGAACTATGTACTTGTTGTTAGGTTTGTCGTGAAATTCTGTGCCAGTGATTGAATGTCAGCATTGTATTTCCTGAACTGCGTTCAGAAAATACAATAATCAAAGCACTGAATGTACTGATGGGGAGGCTATGACAGAATGTTTCAGGCTTATAGTTTCTTTTCTTTTTGCTTAAAATGTGCTGTTAAATAAGAAGATATGCACATTGCGCCATTTAACGCTCAGCCATTCATATATATGGTTAATATGGTTGACTATTCATTTTGTTAATATTCCAGAACATTTCATTGGGGTCTACATTCCAATTGTTAATCATGCAAATTTTGAAAAACCTAAAAACCATTTATAAATGACACACCAGCAGGTATGACGACTGTTCATTATAAGATCATAATACCATTTTACAACTGACGGTTCCTTATCAAAATATTCAAGGACTGTTCATCATAAATACTTTATGTCATTTTAATATCATTGAATGATAATAACAACTGCAAGATAAGCAACATTTTAATTGAACATAAAATTATACATATTTACATGTACCATAATTGAGATCAATAAGACACTGTCTTGTGATGAGTATTAATATTCATGCTCTACGGACAGAAAGTTGTCTTCTCCCGAAGCAAATCTCGAATAAAATCACGTTTCAGGAAATTATTCTCATTTCATTACTCGTCGCTGACTTTGACGGCTTCGGATAATATTAAAGCTAAATATTTCTTGAAAAATACATATCTGCAAAGCTTATTCAAAATTGAATCAACGTAAGTGAAAATTGATCAGGAAGTTATATCTTCTTTTTTTACCAACTTATGGTAGTTAATCGATAGATTTCAAACCTCACTAGCTTGAAATATATACTGCGGTAAATCTGTTGTTAACAGGATGTGCGGTTATAACGTAGGTTTTCCTTGTCGACCATTTCCCACAAATAGATGAGAACATCGAAGCGTCAGTGCTATGAATGGTGTTATAAAAAGCGTGTTTTGGAGGTTTTTGTTGAAACTTCTCCAAATCCCTCCAGAGGTATGCACGTCGCGGAGAAGGCACACGGCAGGTCAAGGTCAGGTCATCTCAAGTACCAGAGGTGATTGGTTGACCTGTCGTAACTTACTCTGGAGGTTTGGCGCTAATGAATGCCGTTTTTGTTGTCGTCAGTCAGGAAGTTGATGCCTTGACAGTACTGTCGTCTCCTTTACCACTTACGAACGAAGAATGGGCTACCAGGAAGATTCTGCTTGAAAAAGACGTCCCCGATGCTATAATCTCGGACATATGGTTATTCCGGTGCCGAGAATAAATGAACTTTAAACACACACTCTTGTTGAAAACAAAGCAAAAAAACAACAACATATTTTCTGTAGTAATTTTTCAAGTGTTGTAAAATGAAAACGAAATTCGTCTTATGCCGCCAATTATTTTTAGAACACAAACATATAACTTCTTTTTATTCGATTTATTCAAATAAACATAAATCACTTCAGCGCGCGCAAATATCGTTTTCAATTTAAAATTTCGTAAGATATGTTGATGAATTTCCGATGCTCGACTGTAAGTCATTCGTATATATATGCGTTTTTTTTGTTTTGTTTTTTTAAAGCTTCTTATTCTTTAATATTTTTATGTATCTCATAATCTGTATTGAAAATTTTATTACACATGGACTATCAAATTATGATTCGTTGCCCTAGAATTGAATAAACTTTCTAATTACACAATACGGGGTCATTCATTTGATTGAAAACTGATCTTTGCGTCTTTCTCTGAAATAATTATTTCCTTGTTAAAACATATTTGACCACATATTTCTGTCATTTAACTGTTCACTTTACTTCCGATTTTTGTTGTACCGAAACACATGTTTCTATTTGTGTTTCCTATTCGAATCTATAATCAGTTTAATGGGATCACCACCGGGTAAACGACTACTAGGTACTTTGGTCATGTTTTTTACCCCAAATATTTGAATGTTTCTATTGGGATTTAAATGAGCGTAGATAACTAAACTACTGGTTGTATAAATCCCTGACCTGTCTAATTCTAATAATTAGATTAGTGGATATATTAAGACTTTCACTACAAAATATTCCTGAAAAAAAAGAGCACATGTTTAAATTTATTCCTTTACAAATAAAAGATCAGAGTAGGGATCTGTCAATTGCCAGACATATTTTTAAAAGATACTTTTATGTTAAAAGTTTGATTAATGAATTATGTAAGATGAAATATAAGTATTGCTTTTTTTTATTTTGCTAATATTAAATGTAATCTTGTGGTGAAATTTTGTGGGAGGGTCCTTACGGATTTTGTAGTTAAATAGTTTTTTTTTCGGCGATACATGGTTTAAGAATATAATGTTTTCAAACTATATGTTCATCACCATTAGTGAATTTTTAGTTCTAAATGTATGCAAAATACATGTATTTACTAACAGCTATATGATATAGCGGTTAATGAGCGTTTTTCGCGTACAGCCTCCTAAGGTGTACTAATAAGTTAGTTTTCCTTAGTTATCACGCAAGCATGATCCATGTCTCTGATGTAAGCGACAGTTTACCATTGTTTGTCTTTTTATTT